TTCATGAGCGCTAATTAAAGACTTTCAACGACGGCGCCCTCATCAGGAAACTGACCTGGACACACAAGCACGTCGTCGTCATCGTCGTCGTCGTGGTGTCAGAGGTCGACCTGCGGCCGGGTCAGGTCAGCTGACCGTCTGATACATGTGTGGGAATATAATCCAGGTGTGAGCGTCAGTGGAGTCAACACGAGGCTGTGACTCAGCCACGTCGTCGCTGTGAGGCCGCGGTCGACGGCAGACCGAGTTACTGTGAGGAGTAACACACACACACACACACACACACACACTCATCCCTGCTGCTTATTTTTAAACAGCTGAAACATAAAAAGACACAGTTCTGCAGGATGCGTCCAACAGCCATCCGACCCATCCGTCCGTCCATCATCCAACCTCTATTGCAACACCTTCTCTTAAGACAGGATGTTCCTGCATGTGTGTGTGTGTAAGGCCTGCTCCAGGAGGAAGTGGCCAGTTCAGCTGATGCACACACACACACACACACACACACACACACACACACACCCTCATCCGGAGCTCCATTCATCTCCGTGCACAAGGGCCCTTTCACCCGCTGCTTTTCACACTGGTGTACCCCGAGAGCCACACTCACACACACTGACCCAGGTGACCTGTCACTCAGGCTGGACAGCCTACACACACACACACACACACACACACACACAGCAGGGTGAGGTGATGTTTCCTCCCCCACCGTGGAGACGACATCACTCCTATAAACCGCAGTCATGTGATCGAAAAGCGCTGGAGAAGAGTGGGGGGGGAGGGGGGGAGGGCTGAGGGGGAGAGAGAGGAGGTGATNATGGTAGTGAGTCAGATCTGGGAACAGAGACCTGAGAAAGTCTGAAAGTCTGGTTCCTGTGGTGAGAAACTATTTCATTACATAACGACGACGTGGACTGAGAATGATTTGGATCAACACAGAAAATAACTCCAACCAAATAAACGATGCGTTCAATCACACCTTTCTCAGTTTCTAGCAAACTGGTGACACTGATGCTCCAAATGTTCCAAACGCAGCGAGTGAAGATGAAACCGAAACTGTTTGTTTCTCTTTTTAGCCTGAGCTTTGATAAGATCGTGGGTTTGCAAGAATTGTTAAAAACAAATTATATTTTCTTACCACTGCAGTCCTTCAAGTCTATAGCATCACTTCAAGGTAAACAAGTCGCTGTGACGAGACACCAGAGTTAACGTTAGCTCCAACAGTCCTGGTCCAGACGCCAGATCTAACTTTATCTACAACAGTCCTGGTACAGCCACCAGAGCTAACGTTAGCGACAACAGTCCTGGTACAGACACCAGAGCTACCGTTAGCTACAACAGTCCTGGTCCAGACGCCAGATCTAACTTTATCTACAACAGTCCTGGTACAGCCACCAGAGCTAACGTTAGCTACACCAGTCCTGGTACAGACACCAGCGCTAACGTTAGCTACAACAGGCCTGGTACAGACACCAGAGCTACCGTTAGCTACAACAGTCCTGGTCCAGACGCCAGAGCTAACGTTAGCTACAACAGACCATGACTAATGAGCTACGTTGTTCAAACACAAACTTTGATTCGTCTCCGTTTCACACCTTCTTTTAACCTCCTGAAATATATTTGACTCCAGTGGTGGAACGCTGCAGAGTCCGTGAACCTCCGCTCCACTGGTTCCACCCAGTGACAGAGACGTTAACTGTCCTCACTCCACTCCAGACTCACTGCTGTCCACAGCCGGACCCTAATATTCTTGTCACATCCCCCCCCAGAGGCGAGGACCATGTCATTAATGAGGGTGTTTACATTTCATTACACTGCTCTGTCTGACTCCCTGCTCTAAGTGGCTGTGA